CTTTATAGGGGTTATATAGGGGAGCACTATAGGGCTTATTGAGGGGGATACTAGGAGTTAAGACTATGGCTCACCCCGCCCTAGAACAAGATGGGAAACAAGGTGCAAGCTCAATTGCTGGCTCTTGTCTGCCCCCGCGATCCTTCGATCCTCTGAATCAATACGGAGCCAGGTGGCAAGGCATTCAAAATATGGTTTCAGAAATTATTCGGTGTACTTTAAAGGGCTTTGTATATTAGGGTTTAGGGTTTTAGGATATTACCCCAACAATGAAGGATCAAATGGAAAATTGAAAAATTGAATGGAAATTGGCATTATGTAGTAGCTTATAAAAAAAAATGTTTAGGATTTCCCAGAAAAAGGTGTCTGTATTTTGGGTATCCTAATAAAAGCATTATAGTATATGGAGGTCTATTGCCTGGTCCCCCTATTTATGGAAACTACCCTTTTCTGCAATATGATTACATCGAGGCTCTAAGTGCTTCGGGGAGGGGTCAGACAAAGCACAAAAATCAAGAAATACGCAAGGTCAAAATCTGATGCCACGTTTGAGGAGGAGTATGCTCGGGCCAACAGAGATTTAGACGAAGAGCCGGCGAACCTTGAATCAAGGAAGACTTGGCTAAGCCTCATATTTTTGGTCTTGTTCGTCGGGCCAGCCGTTGCAACATTCTTTATAACTGCGAAAGACTGGGCTGACCCTTTGATCCGCGTGGTGCCGCCAGATGACTCAAAGCAAGTGCAAGATATCTTCTTTGGTGGCAATGCGTGGCTGATCTCATGTGTCACAGTGAAATCGGCAGCAGCCAAGCCGCCATCAACTTTACAGGCAGCTGCGGAATTACTGCGACCTCGCGGGGTGCGTGTTGCTCGAGTTCATTGCTGGGAGCCTCTGGAAACTAAGAAGGGGCTCCGCAGCTTGGCGCAAAGGTTCGGATTCCGGGATAAGCCGCCTGTGGTAATGGCAACCAGGGGCAAAGGTACTCCCACCCTGCTAGCTGCGACGGGTCTTCAACCCGAAGCTCTGGCTGCAAAAGTCCTTGCGGCCGTGATACCAGAGGCTAGGTTGTTCAGTGGCATACTTTTTCACTTTTAGGGCGTCTGGGCGTCCAGTATTTCCCATCAAAAGTCTATACTTTCCTCCAGGGCTATCCAGACCCCTGGGAGGGATCCGGAAATTCGATCCACTACATAGACCCGTAATAACCTCTATAGAATCCTTACATAATTTCCCACATGGTTCCAGGCGATCTATTTTTGTTGATCCTTTTGGGTGTCTGGGCACTGAAAAGCCTAGGAGGAGTCGGTCAATGTCAAGGCCACCGTTCGTGAAGGAGGGTGGCTTGGTTGCAGAAGTCACGTTCACCTGGCCTCACCCTAGGGTTATCTAAGGTTACGTAGGCTTACGTAGGGTTATATAGGTGTATACAGGGTTGTCTGGGGTTATAGTAGGTGATATAGGGTTACGTAGGGTTATGTCGGTTTATATAGGGGTATGTAGGGTTACATGAGGTGAGTTTAGGTTTGGGGTTTACGCTACAGTTCCCCCAATTCTGTTACCATTGCTGCGGTATTCTTGTTGCTCAGCATTCCCTAAACCCTAAACCCTAATAAACCCTACTGTCTGCAACTCCTCCTCTCACCCCTATGACCACATGAACTGTAATCTTAACTCCTGAAAGGCTGGTGATATAGGGGGTTACTGTATATAAGGGACCATTTTGGGGCTTACAAACGGGGATACTCGGAGTTTAGACAAGCACTACACCCTAAGCCCTAAACAATGGCCTAGCTGAGGTACGGGAAGTCAGGGCATCGAAAGGAAAAAGTCGGCAAGCGCCCAGAGGAAGCCGATCATGCTCAGGCGCACTTTGGGATCCTTTCCGAGGGGGTTTAGGGTTCAGGGTTTAGGGTGGATTACGTGTCAAGGCTTGGAGTCGGAGGAAATACTAGGAGTTCAGACTATGGCTCATATATTGGACCTTTATATATGTCCAGCTCCCAAAGATAAGTTCTATGCAGGGCCATGTTTGACAATCCTCTCCCGCAACATTAAACCCCGCACGCCCCGGTAGAGTACCATGATCTAATGACTTGGATCTCCAGCTTTGTATGAGGTCAGTATGTTTTTTCCAAGCAACAGATGGCAGAAGTCCCAATACTTTGTTTTCACGACTATCTCGATTATTTGTTTTTTACGGCTACCCAAAAAGACTGAAGCTGATGTGGAAGTTTGGGGGTCCCAACCCTAACACCTAAACCCTAAACTCCTAAACCCTAAACCCGAATCCCTACACATCCCTGGAGCCCCTGAAGCCGCCAGTCTTCAGAAACCTCCATCCTGTTGCAGGAGATCAAAGACGACTTGGAGGCGCGCAGCCATCTACATCCAATAGAATTTTGAGTGCAAAAGCCGGTTCTTAGATTCTCGCCATGGTTACTTCGAACTGCATAGGCGAGACGACCACATTGCACTTGATGGTCACAGCCGGTCCAAGGTTAAGGGGACTGCCCAGTTCGCACAGTACTGGAGCCTCCAAACGACGGGAAATCTACAAAATGTGCTGCCGACTTCTGCTTTGACTGGAGTTACTGGTAAGCATACCAGGAGAGGAAACTAAGGAATATGTCGTTTTGTTCCAAAACTCTCCTCCAGGGGAACTCTGGCAATGATTGGGGATATGGGACGATCTTACGGGAACCCTACGCCCTACATGCCCCTGATTAACTCCCCCAATCCCCCCAGGCGATTACATAGGGGTATTTAGGGGAATGTAAAAGGAAATGGAAACCACTGTATGATTTAGGGTTTAAGGCTAAGGGTTGATACTAGTAGTATCACCTGGGTGGGGGGAGGTTTATAGTCGGGAGAGGGGATTCATGTAGCCGGGGCTTGCTGCATCAGGTGCACACGCAGCCTGAGGAAGAGGAAGTCATCAACCTGGACATGGACTGAGCAGTTGGAGAAAGTTCCAACATACAGCAGACATCCTTACATGGTAAGTTGTCAAAATCTTGCGCCCACTTGAGGAGCTACCCTAAACCCTAGGGGCTGTACTTTGAACTGCTGGACCCTAAGTAGTCCTTAAAGATCTGGATGTTTTATCAAATGATTCCTTTGCCGCAAAGGAAACTCCATCATCCCCTTGTAGCAACCCGTTGCTTGGAAACTATAAAATCCTTAACCCTAAAGCCTGCACCTTAAACCTTAAATCTTACACCCTAAACAAACCGAAAGCTAAAGATGTTCTGCGGAGCAAGCTTGAGCCAGTTCCGAAGAGAAAAGAAGCAGCTGCTGTCAAGGGCATCAGCCATGTGGGAGTTATTCAAAATGGTATAATATGGGGTTTAGTGTTTAGGGTTTAGATACCTTTATAATGGAAACTAAAATGGACAGTGAAATGGATATTGGAGGACTATAGGGATTTACCTTTGCGGAGTCCTTTGTAGGGACTTCCAGTTACACCCTGCTTCGCCTCCTCTATCCTTCGGCTCCCTGAAATGTTCCATTTGTAGCTAGTTTTGTTGTCCCCCTTAGGGTAATGTACCCCCTTGTTAGTAGACTGTAGTATACTATAGTACATTATAGGGTATTATCGTATGTTATAGTATATTATGTATGTTGGAGAACGAGAATCGGATCAAGAAGCGACTTTATGCTGTCTTTCATCGCTATGGTCAAGGACAGCAGCTTACAGTGACATCATACATCCAACCCTTGAGCATAAACACTATGTAAGGTTGTGGGTTTGGGGCTAGGGTTTAGAATAACGAGCCGCATTTGAGCTGGGACAAAAAGCCCGGGTTTCTACGGCTCATATTGAAATGACAAAACTGATTGGCGTGTGCAGAACATGGGAGAGCGACAACAGCAAATAAAACAACAATGTAGTAGTTGATGTTATTTGATGGGAAAACGATGACGGGTAAGATTGGACAGAAGGCTGGCATCGAGGTTCATGGCGTTGAAAAAAGCCAACTATTTCTCCGTAGTTTCACTTGGTCTTGATAGTTCCCAGTATCAAGGTAGGAAAACACTTAAGATGTAACCAGCTTGGAACCGGGGTCGACCTATAGTTACTACCTAAAACAAAACTCGTGTTTCGCAATATGCCTACCTAGCCCAGTATAAACCCCGCGAAGGGACCGTGTTGTTGTACCATACTTGTTTGTTGTCATAAATGCCTCCCTAAGTATGGCATTAAGATGTGCGTGCTCCAAGGCCTGAACTTGAATATTCAATCCGATACCGTTTGTTCGGGCCCCAATGGCAGCAGGCGCTTGCCCGTCGAGTGCCTCAGATGGCTTCCGGCTTCGATCCAAGGCCAGATGCTGGGCATTTCAGCAGCAGGACGTGGTACGGTGCATCTCCTGGATAAGAAGTAGATCAGCTAGGCGCAAGGTACCTTTCATTTGTTAGCCAGGCAGCGATTTCACATTTCCACTTTTCAAGGTTTCCAGGTGTGGGGTATCCTTCATTTCTTGCTCCTCACGTCATATTCTGTGGGGGGTTTGAGCCCCTTAGCGTTGTCAACTTCGATGTTGAGAGAGGCGCCCTATCCATTAGGCCATAAAGCCTCCAACCCCCAACGCGCAATGTAACGACCTTATTTTGGGGCGGTCGGAGTGTTAAATTCCCTTAGCCCCTGCAGGGACTTTAAGTGAGGGTCAGGGCGGAGTTCAAGAGCGGGTTGAGGAGGCTGATTACGGGTATACCACGATGGGCTGTTCGTCCATGAAGGCCCCTTACCCCTTGTTTGGGTCCTGATAGGGAATTTCGTAGGCGAATAGCCCATCCTGGCAAATGGGGAGAACACGGGTAGAAACCCACCAAAAAAAAAACGTATTTTTTCATTTCGTGGTTTAGTTGTTTTTTTTGAAAATTATCCAAAATAAGAAATGTAGCCCCCTACATTGCTTAATTCAAGGGTGGGGGGGGGGCCTTGAAAACAACAAAACAAGAAAACGCAGCCTCCAACACGGCCTAAATCAAGGGCTTGGCCTGGAAAACACTCTAAATGAGAAACGTGGCTTCCTACACGTTTTTCGGTGTTCTTTGTGGCCTGGAAACCAGCAAAACAAGAAACATAGCCCCCTACATTTCTTATTTCAGGGTCCCTTAAGGGCCTAGCCAAATAAGAAAATGGCCCCGAATCTTTGGGTACCCCTTCATTTCTTAGCTAGAAAGAGCGCATGGGTTTTCGTGTTATCCAGCCAACGCAGCCCTACATTTCTTGACCAGTCGCTTCTTGTGCAGTGATTGCACTATGCTACAATGCAGCAACGAATGCAGCAGCAGCAGCTGCTGCTGCTGCTGCTGCTGCCGCCGCCGGGGATGGTGGTGGTCGTGGCAGCTGTGGTGGTTGCGGAATAGGTGTGCCGGCGTTACAGGCTGTTGCAGCGACAGGCTGCATCATCGTAGTCGTTTGCGGCTGACGTCCACGTCGTAGGCGGCATCGTCGTTGTGCTGGTGGTGATGGTGATGGTGGTCGCGGTCCTGGTCCTTGCAATCCGTCGTGGTATCTCAAAGTCGCCATGGCCATTGTTCGTTGTCGTTGTTGCTATTTTCGTTGTTGTTTCTGTGTTCGTCAATGTTGTGGTCGAAGCTCCTTCCATCAAAAGCTTCCTCTCAAGTCCCCAGACTCTTGTCATGAAGCTAGATGTTTTTGTTGTAGCCATGTCTTCAAGGCTGATCCCGCCTGCCCTTGCAACGATCTGCCGTGTTCCCTTGCCAGAGGAGGACCCCGGTAGCATATTTGGGTTTGGAGTAAAGAGTTTTCGAGTCAAGGTTTTTCAGAGCTTGGGGTCTGGGGGATTGGACATGCATTCAAGGTAACAAGGATTCGAGAGCACGGCCGACTCTGCCTGTGTAAGGATTGCAAGCAAGGCGATGCCAGTACTCCCAAGTGCGACATTTCAGTGTTTCTGTTGCGCCTGTGCTCCCTTGGATCTTCCAAAACAACCTTGTTCAAGGTTGACCCATTGCCCCTTGCTTGTAGAAACTGAGCTTTCAGGTTTCCCGCGAAGACATGTGAAAATTTGGCCTGCAGGCAAGCCCCAAACTCTGAGACCCAAAGCCCACTAGACCCCAAAACACATCAAGCCCCCCCAAAAAGGAAACGGTCCTTCTTCACCCGTACGGTACACGAAGGAAATTCTTCAGTACTTAAAGTAGCTGAATGCAGGCAATAATAATTGGTAGTGCAAGATACATCGAAGATGTTACGCTGCGGATCCCAATCTTTTCCGGCAAATACTTGCGGGGTCAAGAGGACCCGGTAAGTATACTTTAACCCCTAGAAGCCCTACGGTATCCTCAGTTATCTCTGTTACATACCTACTTAAGTCCCCCTGACCCTCCAAGTAAGGGGTCTTTCATCTTCCCCAAAACCTAACTCATGCAACAGTGGAGGGCTTACCGGGATCAGCACGATATGTCTTAAACTCCGACTCAAGGGACCCGGAGATGGGCAGCCCCTCTACGTAACGTCTAGGTTCCCTTCTCAGTACCTTGTAAATGTCCTTCTTAAAAATTCCTGTCAGGGGGGTCCCCCAGGAATGTACCCTACCCGATCCTTACAGGAAAGAGAGGAGGCCGTCCGAGCCCTTCTTACACAATGGCTTCTCCGGCTTCGACGGGAGAAGGCCTGCTAGTTGCACTGGCTTTATAGAGTCCAGTACGCGCCCAACTTCTACACCCAGCTCGCAGTATGTGTATGATGGGGTTGGGCTGCATTTCGGGGCCGCAAGCAATTTGATGAGAGACTGACCGGCATGCTTTGGGGGGCATGCTGTTGACATGTCATTTGTTTAGCGCCCAACACAAGACAAGAAGCAGCGAAAAAAGCACAAGCAAGGATGGCAATGCCAGTGATTTTGCGAATAGGAGGAGCGACGGAGCAGCCTCCGAAATTGAAGCTGTTCACTTGGGAGTTGATAGATCTTCTACTTGAGGGTACACGTATTCCCACCCATTCCAATAGTCTAGACCCCCATGTTGCCGAACCCCACGCTCCAAACCATAAACCTCAACCCTAAGCCTTCATGACCTCATTCACACCGCTTAAGACCTCCGGCTGTCGAAAAGGATAACCCCACGGGTGCTGTAACCGTGCAGCAGATCTTGAGCCTGGCCGTGCGCGGCGCTCAAGACTTGGGCTTAATTTAGGGTTCAAGTTTTAGGATTCAGGGTTTAGGGATTGAGGGTTTAGGGCTCAGGATTTTGGGTTCCGGGTTATGGGCTAAGGGTTCAAGGTTTAGAGTTCAGGGTTTAGGGTTCCACCCTGTCAGACATAATTGCTGCTTTGCATTGGCCCTATAAGGAGCTGGTATAGCAATCCCCCAATACACGGAATAAGAATTTAGCCTTACCAAGAGACCATGAAGGTTGGATCCCTCTTTAGTATAGTTCCTGATAAGGTCCGTAGTAAAGGAGCCCATGCATTGATTTTCTGGGGAGATATTGACTGTGGCTCATATGAGCCAGGGTCTAAACTCCCTAAAGGGGGTTATATAGGGGAGTATTATAGAGGTTATATCAAGAGGGATAAGAGGAGTTTAGACCTTAAACCCTAAAGCCGAAACCCTACACCTTATATTAAAGGGGTTAGTAGGATCAGGAAATATTGATTGTAGCTCATATCGGAGCTTCTCCCCATGAGGATCCCAGAAGGCTCGCCGAAGCCCCAGAAGGCAATTCTTGTTGGGGTTTAGGGTTTACTGGGTAGCCCTTTGAGTTCCTGAAATATTTCCCTAATTGGTTGCATAGGGGCCCATTTATACTAATATTTTTCAGTGGTCTCCAAAGGCCAACCAAGTTGAGGGTTTCCATACGTTGGGCTTTAGGATTCAGACTTTCGGGGTGTTCTCCGGGTTGCAGTTTGGAAGAAGAGTACAATCCCGCTTGGTTTACCGTGAAAATGCGACGCACAGGGACATGTTCAATGTTTTCGGTTT